TATGTATCATGCTGCCGCCAATGGTCTTGTTGAAGCATTCAATAAGACTCTATGCAACCTTCTGAAGAAAGTTGTCTCCAAGTCCAAACGGGATTGGCATGAAAGAATGGAAGAAGCTTTGTGGGTATATAGGACAACATACCGCACACCAACTCAAGCAACACCATATTCACTTGCTTTTGGAGTTGAAACAGTCTTGCCACTCGAGCGTCAAATACCTTTCTTAAGACTTGCTATTCAAGAAGGGCTCACTGAAGAAGAAAATGCTCAACTGCGTCTTGCTGAGTTAGAAGCACTTGATGAAAAGAGGCTAGAAGCCCAACAAAACCTTGAATGTTATCAAGCTCGTCTATCTCGTGCTTTTAATAAGAAAGTTCGCTTGAGGTGTTTCCAAGTTGGAGACCAAGTTCTCGCAGTAAGAAGGCCCATCATTACTTCGCACAAGTCTGGGGGCAAATTTACCTCAAAGTGGGATGGACCGTATGTTGTACAAGAAGCATACTCACATGGTGCTTACAAGCTTGTTGATGCAGATGGCGTAACGATCGGTCCTATTAATGCAAAATTCCTAAAGAGGTACTACCCTTGAAGTAAGATAATGCTCCTTAAGGTACGAGCCTAAACTGCATGTCACTCCTGGCTCGCAAGAGTATAAACTGTGTATGGCACAACCAAAAAAATAATTAAAAAAAAACCACTCAATCCCCTAGAACTACGTTGTGACTTGATCCTCTTCATTGAGGTACGTAGGCGCTTAAAATATATCCCAAGTTCAGTTGCATAAGTGTCAAAAAACCACATGTTCCCACTTGATCTGTCACATGTCAGTCAAAGCAATAAGTATTCAGTTTTATCTTTTGTCTCATCATACTTTAGACTTGTACGAAGTATTGATTGGTCAATTGATGAGGGCAAACCCTTATAAAATATGAGTTTCTTTAACAACATGCTTGAAGTTTCTTTCCATTTAGCCAAGTATGCAAGTTGAAGTCTTTATATTCTTCGAATTTACAAGTTGAAGTATTTGAATCCTCTAAATATACAAGTTCAAGTATTTGAATCCTCTAAGTGTGCAAGTAGGACTTCAAGTATGTAAGTAAAAGTCTCCAAATCCTCCAAATGTGCACGTCGTTGAATTTCCATGCCGTAAGGTGGACGAGGTTTGTCCCTTTGCACCTTAAGATAGACTTTTCGCGGATTTATCCTTAAATGAATCTTTAAATTTCCATGCCTTAAGGTGGACAAATTTGTCCCTTTGCACCTTAAGCTAGCCTTTTCGCGGATTTATCCTTAAGTGGATCTTTGAATTTCCATGCCTTAAGATGGACAAATTTTTCTTGCACCTTAAGTTATTTATCCTTAAATGGATCATTAAATTTCTATGCCTTAAGGTGGACGAGATTTATCCCTTTGCACCTTAAGCTGACCTCTTCACGAATTTATCCTTAGATGGATTATTTTTGGTATGCCGTACACAGTTTATACTCTTGCGGGCCAGGAGTAACAAAAAAAATTACCATGCCTTAAGGTGGACAAGATTTGTCCCTTTGCACCTTAAGCTGGCCTTTCTCCGGGTTTATCCTTAAAAGGATCTTTAAATTTTCATGCCTTAAGGTGGACAACATTTGTCCCTTTGCACCTTAAGCTGGCCTTTTTGCGGATTTATCCTTAAAAAGATCTTATAAAGCCTCAAGTAAGTGATCTTCAATGCGGGGACGTTAAACACATCCCTTCACACTTTATGGTTAAGTATTCGGGATATGGTAACGCCTTGAGAGTAGTATTTTTTTCAAGGCGGGGACGTTAAACACAGTATTTTAGTAAAGCCTCAAGTTGGTTAAGTATTCGGGACATGGTAACGCCTTGAGAGTAGTATTTTTTTTCAAGGCGGGGACGTTAAACACAGTTTTTTAGTAAAGCCTCAAGTTGGTTAAGTATTTGGGACATGGTAACGCCTTGAGAGTAGTATTTTTTTTCAAGGCGGGGACGTTAAAAACAGTATTCTAGTAAAGCCTCAAGTTGGTTAAGTATTCGGGACCTTATAAAGCCTTGAGAGTAGTTTTTTTTTTTTTAAGACGGGGACGTTAAACACAGTATTCTAGTAAAGCCTCAAGTTGGTGATCTTCAAGGCGGGAACGTTAAACACATTCCTTCACACCTCAAGGTCAAACTCTTGCATTGTGATAAAGCTTTCCATTGTGTTGCCTCCGCGAAATATAAATATTGCTTATGTTGATCTACAAAAAAAAGAAAAAAAAACACAAAAAAGGACAATACAAAGAAAATACAATTAAAGGAGAGATTGTTACCTGTCAAGACATTTGGGACTTGTGTTAAGTTAACTAGGTTAGACTTTAGACAATATTTTCTTGGTGATAATGATGCCCATGAAGTATAGTTTCTAGCGATCACAATTTTTTTTTTTGGTGATGTCATTCCGACATCGAGATATAAAATGTTTTGTAAGGCAACGGAAATCTGAAATCAATTATGTGACAGAATTTAGAGTTAACTTCAAAAAGCTTTCTGGAACAATATTAAAGGAGTTGAATTCTAAATTTTCGATATGTTTTGGCCCTTTGGGTCTAGTTTCTGCAGAATCAAACGGATTGCAATTTCGATGTTTTTACCTCGAGATACAATTTTTTTGGTATCATTGCACAAATTTGAAACTTTTGGTGCACCAAAATCTAAAGCTGACTTTGTAATAGTATCTGGGATGATCCCAAAGGTATTAAATTCTGAATTTTGGATATGTTAGAGATCGAGAAGTCTAGTTTCTAGAAAATCAAACCGTTCAAGATTTTGATTTTTCTACAATGAGATATGAATTTTCTACGACAGACATGTTAAGCTGTAGAAAAAGTGACGAAAATCAGAAAAAGAGAGGGAGATTACCTTGAATTATGCCTCTTTCGTCATAAGCTCGTAGCTCACAATCTGTAATTGAAGATAAAATTGTGGAGATAATGTGTCTATTTATAGATGTCATATGGTGGGAATAACAACATTCTCCTAGTTCAGTTACAGTTCCTTTTTGGCTAGGGCAATAAAACATATATATATAAATATTGAAATTGAGTAGGATTACAATTCCTAGTTCAATTACAATTCTTTTTTGACAAAGATAATAAAATATATATATGATTATGAAATTGAGTAGGATTATAATTCCTAGTTCAATTATAATTCATTTTTAACTAAGGCGATTGGTCACTTCGAATAAAACTAGGAAAGGTTGGTGGCGTTGAAATAATTTGTTGCCTAATCCTTGACAAATTTGAAGACATGAAACGGTGGCTCTTATCACAATTAATCCTATATTAGAAAAAAATAAAGGAGAATTAAAATGTGGGCCCTTAAATTAGCTCCCTCCGTCCAAAAGACCATCTGAAGTATATGCCTAAAGTTTTGGCAGTATAATATGTATATATATACTTTTAATATTGATTGGAATCTTCCAAGCAATCGGTGAAATGTTAAATAAATAAATTGCATGGATTAGTTTATTTTATTTGACTCAAGATCAATTTAGTAACCGTTAATGCTTCAAGCCTAGTCTTTAAAAGATAAAATATCTCGACAAGACTTGAAGCAGGGGCATTTGTAATCATTTAAAATTTATTAAATATAAATTTATAAAATGATTCGAATTATATTAAATTCATTAATATATTAGTCCAAATAAATATTATGGATTGATATAATTGAATTAATTATTTAAATTCAAAAAATGAATTTAATTAAAGCCCGCTCCATAAAGTCCATATGTCATGTCACTTAAATTTGATTGGCCGAAGGAAATCCTATTCCAATCACAACTCCCCTATTTTAAAACTATAAATAGGGGTTTTCATAATTCAGAAAGAAGACAAAATTCTAAACAAGAAGCTAGAGAAAATCCGTGGTACAAACGCCATAAAATTTTCTATAAAGCTACAAGTTTAAGAATTCAAGCATTTAAGTTCAAGAACGATCAAGATCAAGACTATCAGGTTCAAGAACAAGCTCGAAGCCCTTGAATTCAAGCAAAAGTCAAGATCAAGATAAAGTTCAAAGTTCAAATTCATCAAAGATTCAAGATCAAGCTTTAAAGCCCTTGAATCATATTTGAAAAGGCGAATTAAGAGGAATCATAGAGATTGTAACACTCGCACTTTGAAATAATAAATACGATTGTTGCTATAATTTTCCGTTCTTGATTATTGTCTTCTCGACGCGAATTTTATTGTCTACAATATCGTCCATGACTATCACATCCTATTCGATTTTTATTAGATGTCTAAACACTAGCAAAATTTCGATGTTCTCTTTTAAAGCTAGAAGTGTACGAGAAACTCCATCGTCAAAGTTGTTTCTTCTTCCACTACTATAATATTTACTAGAGAAAAATTCTTCGATCGATTGCTTCTAAAAGACATCGACTTGTCAAGATGAAGATAGCATACAAGCGAAGAGACTAATATTTAGATTTATCAGTGTAAATTCATTTATTTGACAAACATATAATGGCATTATTAATATTTTATTCATGTTACATTCATTTAAATTTCTTTATAAACATAAACCAAATTATCAACATAAAAAAACACATACATTTAAACACACTTCAAAGCAAAAACATTGAAATTCCAAATATACCTTCGTTATAAAATAAATATAACTATAAAAAAGTTAACATTGAAATTCCAAATATACCTTCATTATAAAATAAATATAACTATAAAAAAGTTTTGACATCTCGAAAAAATACTCTCGACAACTTGTATCTCTTACTAGCATACTACTTTTGACTTTTCTTTTATCCTCGTGAAGGTATAGGAGCCATTCTAGAAAGTTCTAAACTCCTAAACAAATCACAGCCCTTCAATTTTCTTAACTCAAATAAAACCACGAATCCCACCCACCAAGTCACTTCTCTTTTTTTTCCTCTTCATTTCCCTAACACTGCCAAGAACCTCTCTTTTCCTCTTCTCGCCGCAGCTTTAAATCGGTAAGAATGATCAATTGATTAATTGAATTTACACTTTTGTAGTGAATTTTGATTGCTAATTTTGTAGATCTGTTCGTTGATTTTGTTTGGTTCAGATCAATTTTTATTGACGTAGTTGAACCGATCGAAAGATGTTTGGAAGAGCACCGAAGAAGAGTGATAATACTAAGTATTATGAGATCTTAGGAGTTCCTAAGGCTGCTTCTCAGGAAGATCTCAAAAAGGCTTATCGTAAAGCCGCCATCAAAAATCATCCTGATAAGGGAGGCGATCCTGAAAAGGTAATTATACTTTTATACTGTTTTTTTTTTTATAGGGTTTCTGATTATCAGGTGTAGTTTTGTGTATAGATCGGTATTTGAATTGTTTTAGATCTGTGAAGTACTCTGAATCAATCAATAAACTGTGCGTCTAACCTAAACTAGTTTGAGTATTCCGTTTGGTTCTATTAAATTTCGCTTTCTTAATTGAAGTAGATAAAATTGTCACATAATGTACCAATTAGACTGTCTTATTAGCTGAACAGCCTGAACTATATTGTGGCGGTAGTATAATATTGATTTTAGATTATCCAAGGGCGTGACCTAGTGTTCAATGAAGTAGTTTAAGAATCATGTAGTCTCAGGTTTGACCAGTTCTCATCTGTTCTAGCTTTGGAGTAGATAGTTAGTTACTTGTTATCTGTTACTGGTGGGGTGGCAGGTATCTTGTGGATTTAGTTGAGGTGTGTGAAAGCCTGTTCTGACACTACAAAATAATTAATACTCTGAATCAATCAATAAACTATGCGTCTAACCAGAAGTAGTTGGACTGTTGGAGTGTCTGTTTGATTCTAAATTTTGCTTTCTTAGTTGAAGTAAGATAAGATTGACCTATAATGTACCAATATTGGTTCTGTAATTTGACTGTCGGATTAGCTAAACTATATAGTGTGTAATAGGATATTGTTTTTAGGATTTGTAGTTTGTGATTAATTGGGCAGGGTTACTTTTGAATTATCCAGAATGTATGAGATGGTGTTAAATTGGGAACTGCAATTACTGTTGTGTTTTTGACAATGTTCTGTATGTAGCTAGAGCGATGGTGTTATTCATGTGCAATCTCGATGGATTAATGTCCTTCTTTGGTTCTTTTAGTTTAAGAGCTTGCCCATGCTTAGTAGGTTCTTATTGTTAGTTGATGGATTATTTGTGTTTTTCAGTTTAAAGAGCTTGCTCAAGCTTATGAGGTCTTGAGTGACCCAGAGAAGCGTGAGATATATGATCAGTATGGAGAGGATGCTCTAAAGGAAGGAATGGGTGGTGGAGGTGGTGGACATGACCCATTTGATATATTTCAATCATTCTTTGGTGGTGGTGGAAGCCCCTTTGGTGGTATGTTTGCTGCATATATTTGAAGTTGAATTTGTTTCCTTTTGTCTGCTGTTTTCATAGCTGCAATTATTTTCTCCTACTTACAATTTTTCTGATGTTCAGGTGGGGGAAGCAGCAGAGCTCGCAGACAAAGAAGAGGAGAGGATGTTATCCACCCTCTCAAGGTTTCTTTGGAGGATCTTTACAATGGGACATCAAAGAAGCTTTCACTATCTCGCAATGTGTTGTGCTCAAAGTGCAAGGGGTGAGTTATAACAGCGTGGTTGTTTATTTTTCAACTTCATTTTGTTATTTATGAGTGGAGTGGGTGTCAGTGGTTAGTGCCTTTAACCATCTCGTGCTATGCTACGATACTGATGGTGTTATGTTCCCCTTTTCAGTAAAGGGTCCAAGTCAGGTGCTTCAATGAAGTGTTCTGGCTGTCAAGGGTCTGGAATGAAAGTTTCTATCAGACAGCTCGGTCCATCCATGATCCAGCAGATGCAGCACCCTTGCAATGAGTGTAAGGGTACTGGTGAGACAATCAGTGACAAAGATAGGTGCCCTCAGTGTAAGGGTGAGAAGGTTGTGCAGGAGAAGAAGGTGTTGGAAGTTCACGTGGAGAAGGGTATGCAGAATGGGCAGAAAGTAACATTTCCTGGCGAGGCAGATGAAGCGGTAAGATATGTGCAGTCACATTTTAGAAATGATTTGCTTATAATGACTGGATCTTGACATGATTTGTGCTTTTGCAGCCAGAAACCATCACTGGAGACATTGTTTTTGTTTTGCAACAAAAGGAACATCCTAAGTTCAAGCGAAAGGGAGATGATCTTTTTGTTGAGCACACATTGACCTTGACCGAGGCCCTATGTGGTTTCCAGTTTGTCTTGACTCACCTAGACAACAGACAGCTGCTCATTAAGTCCCAACCTGGCGAAGTTGTCAAGCCTGGTAGGCCCAAAGAACCCCTAATGACCTTTAAAAGATTTTGTTTAATGCAGTTGAGTCTCCATCATCAGTTAATTACTCTGGCAAGTGCCAATCCTAGCAAAAAAAATTTCCAACACCGATTCCAGCATTTACCCTCTCACGTGTTGCCAATTTATACTAGTAAAAATAGAACTCCTAATAACCAGTAGTACTAATATATTACCTGTTTATATTGTTTTCTTCAAGCCTTCAAACAGAAAGATGACACTTCCAATTCCTGTGTTTGTGATCCTTTATTTCCTTCCATTTTCTTCCCACACAACTATGTAGATTCATGTTTATCTAAGCCTTCTCTGTCTTTCACTCCCTCTCTCTGCACACGCCCACATGTATGCTTCATGAATATATCTTGGGAAATACTGACCCCATTTTGTTCTTTGGCTCTGCAGATCAGTTTAAGGCTATCAATGATGAAGGAATGCCAATGTACCAAAGGCCTTTCATGAGAGGTAAAATGTACATTCACTTCACTGTTGATTTCCCCGAGTCATTAACACCAGAGCAGTGCAAGAACCTTGAGGCTGTGCTGCCTCCAAGACCCAAATTGCAAGTGTCTGATATGGAATTAGACGAGTGCGAGGAGACTACTTTGCATGATGTGAACATTGAGGACGAGATGCGAAGGAAGCAGCAAGCTGCCCAAGAGGCATACGACGAAGATGATGATATGCCTGGTGGTGCACAGAGAGTCCAATGTGCACAGCAGTAATTTGGTATTTGCTATCTTGTGATATTGGGTAGATTACTTACCAGTAAAGGATATGGATATTTTTTCTTATGCAGACCGACACTAAGTGTGCTTACATGTTTACGCAATTTGTTTTGATTTGTTATCTCATTCAATAATCCTTTTTAATTCCTAGTCCAATTTGAAATTTCACATGAGCTTAATTCGAAGCAAAATTGTTGGGTTGCACTTCACAAATAACTTAAATCCTGCCACAATTTGCTTATAACTCAGTTGTTGATACAACTTTAAGGCACTTTGAAGTTTGAACCAAGTATTTTCAATGCGGAGTACAATTTTTATGTGTGAAGCATTTTGGTACAGAGGCCTAAAAGTACAATGATCCAGCACTAAAAATCTTAAAAATTGAATTAATAAAACTTAAATTTCTGGAGTTAATATACTTACTCAAACTTCATTTAAGTATATTCTCTTAAAAATTAAATAATTCCTCTCTAGCGCTACTTAGACTTTATACGTTGTTTAAAAGTATATTTTTTTTTTTAATTTCTATAACAAAAAACACTTTGTCACGTAAGCAATTATGTGAGATGGAAAACATACAAGTTTGTGAAATAAGATTTGTTGTTTTGACCGGTGGATATAAGTAAATCATATTATATAAAACAACAGCTTATTTTCGAGATTAATTAACCAAAGTCACCTATGGAGATTACACCATTGCTTAAGTTAATTGCAAGAGTTCTCACATTTGTTTTCTTACTGGTATACCTCATCGTCCTTGCCATTACCCAAAATATAAATCGAATTTTAGCTTATCGGTAATTATTTACTAATTTTACTTTTTTTTTTTGTTAATAACAAAGAATAATTATGTTCTCATTGAAATTTTGGTTTAATGATTGTGATTAAAAATTGCAGTTATATGCTCTTTACAATTGTGATTGGATTTGTGCACACAATCCTACAAATTGCCTTCACAATATTTCACTTAGTCTCTGGCCAAAATATTGGTGGACGTTTCTGGGTTCATTTTGAGTTTTATGGTGATAAGGTATGTATTCTTTCATCGATATTTATTGCCCTACTATGTTTATCAGAGGCGTAGTTACATGTAGTGAAGGGTGGTCAGTTGAATATCCTTTGTTGAAAAAATATATGATGTATATAGAAATTTATACGAAGTATATAAGTCAAAATTTATTTATTTTTATATATAAATATTAAATCTTAAACATTCTTAATGAAATTTCTGACTTTTCTATTTTATCATCCCCATCTTCATTTGTAGTATATGATTTATTGCTGATGACTTTTTCTATTGGATACTAATAGAAGGAACGCATTTTGTAACGACTAATTATTAAATAAAATATGTCTTTTTGAAGGACAATAAATCTCTTAGCTAGGACAGTTGAATTTATGAAACATTGAAGTTAAGTAAAATGAAATAAAATCTAGGGTAAAATGGTTGATTTGGAAAAATGGAGCATGATCACTACCAAAACACGTGGACTCAAAATTGAATTTTATTTTTAGTGGATGCGAAAGTAAAGAGTTTGATAGAGTAAATTTTACATCAAAGTTTGAATATAAAGGTATCACTCTAATTTCTAGATTACCATGTCAAATCTGATCTAAAGAGTTACACATCGTAGATCAACTTAATCTGATAGCTTAAAAATGTTTCACACTATCGGTATATATAACATAGTTTTTTGCACATAATATCGATCTTAATATTTAATTTGTAATAATTATTTATTATTATTATTATTGATTTTTTTTTACAAAAATATTTTTTGCAGGTTGCATCACACTTACTAGCCACAGGAACAGCAGCAAGTTTTGGGATTAGTCCTGTAATTAACTCTGAGGATCAAACTTTTCTAAAAAAAGGATATGTAGTTGCCAGTATTCTTTTAATTGCTTTTTTGTTTTCTGCTATTTCCTCTATTTTTTCTTCTTTAAGCCTCCACAATAGGAGTTGATTATGTTTTTTTTTTCCATATATATAATTAATTATGTGTAGGAGACTAGGAGTACTTAGTTTGTCCCTATGTTACTCAGACTCTCCGATATTGTTATTGTATTTGTGTCGGTTCTTCAAAAATATATTACTTTGAAGGATCCAATAAGTAGGGGAAGATCTAGGTAATTAGGTGTGGTTCCCAAGGGAATTCAATAGCTTTTATGCCGATACTGTATTTATATGGAGAAATTTATTAAATATATAAAAAGTATCTGTTGAGAATTCAATTTCAAAGATGCTTTGTTTTGCTGGCATATTGGATTAAGGTTCGACTCCTCTTGAGTACATATAATAAATTTTCAATTACAAAGATTCTTGTAATTCGAAATGGAAACCTATTTCAATTTTGCTGGAATCTTGAATTAAGGTTCAACCCCTCTGGCTACATATAATAATTGTTTTTTTTCAATTTTAGATTTACGAAAACCTATGAACTTTAAATTTTAATTAAATTTGTCTTTGTCAATATACACTCAACGACATTTTTAAAGAGTTTAAACAAGATATGTTTATTCCACCAATTTATACTTTAGTGAGTTATGTGATTGTTTATAATATTTACCCTCTTATTTTGTAGGGATTGTTGTTAATTATGTGGCTATCTTAGGTTTAAGAAAACAAGTTGTTTGAGAGAGCACTCTTTTATTAAGTCAATTATTAATATATATTTTGAACCTGATTCTTTGATATGCCTTGGACTTACGATCCCTGTAAGCCTAGATATTGTATAAAATTATATGACTATCTCATCTAAAAAAATTAAATTGTGATAAATTAGATTATTTATTTGATGATTATTAACAAAGTACACCAATCATGAGGAGAGATCCAAGGGAACCTAGAGGGTGCAAGTACTCCTTCCAAACTATAAAACTCAAATAAAAAAAAGTGTTATCGGTTTATTGTTATTGATTATTGGATTAATGATTTTTTAATAATTTTATTAAAAAAAATTATCGGGTTATTCGGTAATTGTTTTTAATATTAGGTTATTGGGTAAATCAATAACCCATTAAGACTAGTAATCTACTACTTTTACTTGTACATAAATATGAAATATTAATCTCAATACTTTATTAGTTATTGTCTTTATCCTTTAGCCTTCAATTCACAGTTTCACATTTTACAATGGTTGATTTCACAGCTTCACATTGTACAAAACGTCTAAACCTAAAGTAAGAACCCTATTCGTCTCAATTTCTCTTGTGTTACACTTGTATAGTTTTTTCATGTTTGTGTTTTTTGTTTCTATTTTATGAGCATTTGTAAAGTTACATTATTGTGTTGTCGCGCCAAATTTATTAGAAAAAGTCATATATTTGTTTTATAAGTATTTTCTTATTGATTAAACCGATAATCGAACCGTTAAGGACCAAAACCAATAAATCAATAAAAAATATCTTATTGGTTTAACATATTTAAAAACCAAAAACTGATAAACCGAACCGCACTGACCAATGCACACCCTTAAATCCACTTACTTACAAAAAAAAATTCAAATAATAAATTTTAATGTTTTATCTGTTGTATTGAAACAGATAAAACATGAGTAACATTTACTAAACTAGTTTCTACATTCATTTGTAATAACTTAATAAAATTTGATAACATGAGTAATGTCATTATCACAGAAAGGGACCAATAAATTAATAATCAATAAAAATAATACTATCAAAATACCTAATCTAGTATAATAATTTATCTTAACATAACTTGTATTCAAATAAACGATCTCCAATGATAAAGAAAGACGCAATACGAGTATGACTCCGCTTGCTAAAGGAAGATGTGATATGATGACTATGGTCCCATTTTTATATATTGAGATTAAAACGTTTAAATTTAAAAACACATTCGAATATTAAGATATTTAATAAAATTAAGATATCTTAATCATAATAATAAGAATTTCAGATTTTAGTATTAGGCTTGAACTAACAAATATGAACAAATCTTTATTTTATTCAAAAACAACTTTATTATTCGTGACATTATATTTTGACATAAAGTCAACGATTTGCAATTTTTAACATTATCATCATCTGTTTCACCTGCAATTTTTTTTAAAATCAAATTAATTAATACGTGTATTTTCTGAAAAGAATAAAATAATATAAAATTAATATTACATGCATTATTATTGAAACATAATTTTTACTGTTCCATTGAGTAGTTTATATATGGAAAAAATCACCAATAAATACTCGAATAAAGTTATATAGTAATGATAATCTGTATAATGAATTTATAAGAGGACTAATTATATTACGGGTTCTGTTTACATGTTCTGAAATCATATTGATTTGAAGTTAAACGTTTGTTTAAATATGCAATTTAAATTTTTAAGTAGTATTTTTTCTTATAAATATGAAAACTCACAAGTTGTGAAAACTATTAATTTTTTCCTAATTCTTATACAATCTTACCAAATGAACAAAATCATAATTTAGTAACAAGCTATCGAAATATCCTAAGACGTTGCATTTATAAATCACATAGCTCAATATTTTTTTTATAAATTAATGTTTATGCTTACACACTTTCAAATACACATAATTTTATAAAGATTCATTAGTCAACAATAAAAGTAGTTATGCTATTCATTAGAGCTGTCAATATAGGCTGACCCACTCCATTCGGGCCAATCCATACAAGCTTTGAAATTTGACGGATCAGGCCGGGCTAGCCCATTTTTTCCATATAATTCTTCCACATGGTACAAACAATCTCTTCATGCATAGTTTTTTTTTTTTGGTAAAATTTAAAATAATAGATCTTCTTTTTACAACTATAAATTTATGAGTTAAATTTTATATTTAAAAATATTTGAAATCACAATTTAAAATTCTAAATTCTACTTTTTGAAAAAATTAAATTTTAAAATCATTATCTCAAATTACATATTCAAACGCGGTTGAAAGTAAAATATTTGGAAAAGAGTATGTCCACGATCAAGATTTTTGCACCAATAAACTTATATTTCCTGTGGTGTACTTTAATTGACGTCCTCATTATAAATGATTGATCTAAATATTTATTATTTTTAAAAAATAAATTAGCATTAATAATTAATTACACAACTAATTAGAATACTCATATAGGTGAAGAGAACAAACACATAATGTTATGATTGGTTAGATTAACTTAACCTTTAAATATTTACTCAAGTTCATTACTCCTAGTGCTATGAATACATTTACCAAGACATAGAAATAAAGTTAATGTCTTAAATTTGAATTCGCACCAATTTTTTTTGACTAAAGTGCTCCATAATAAAGGCAACTATATGTACCCGGAGGACTCACTTAGTTCAAGTTGATAAACTTTGAAAACCTATTTTGATTTTCATAATTTTAATAAGAAATTAACTAGAAAATTGTTGCATATTGAACAAGTAACTGTTTTGAACTCGAAAAAACTAGAAAGAAAATAATAAGAGAATAAACGATGACTCGATTTTTGTATTGATTCAAATAAAAGATAACATCACTTTATAAGCAATTTTAAATAAATAAATAAATAAATAAATAAGAACAATACATTATTTTCCTTATAGATAAGTACTAAATTAAAAAGAAATTAAATATTTTGCAATCAATATAAATTCTAAATTTGAAAGGAAAGTAAATATTATAGAATATTCTTAAACTAAAATGAAAAAAATATATATTCTGCCATTAAACTAAAATGATTTTTAAAAAAAATATTCTACCATTAATATAAATGATAGAATAGAAGGAAAGTAAATTTCAATAATAATTAGATAATGACATTTTTTTTTTGGATCCAAAAACAATTGGATAGTTCCAAAACAGTTGTATTATTTATTCTTATCCTTATATTATGATACTCTTTTTTTATTAGCCTATTTAAAAGATACATTGCATCTTTTAAATTTGGAAAATTATTAACTTTATACTTACCATTTTATCCTTTTTAACTTCACTTTTTGAAGTAAATGCCATTAGAGAAAAGTTTATCAGTTTTTGCACTTCTCTTTATTGTTGTTTAATTTGGTAAATTAATTATTATTTTTCTTAAAAAAAACTATAAAAACCAAAAATAAAATATCAAAAGGCACAACTAGCCAAGTCACAATCTTGGGAAGAACTATATAGTGATGGGATCAACTTGCTTACTCACCTTACCCCGCACCCCCACCCCACCCCTTCATACATATATAAGTTTAATTTCTATAACTAATGTTATATATTCCCTACAATCCCAAAATTCAAAAACTCCATCTTTTCTCCACAATTTCTTTTTATGCAAATATATACTTTTCTTATCAAGGACAATAATGGAAGGTGGTAAAGTGAGTGAAGGTTTAAAAGATCAATTAGGTGATGAAGACAAATTTAACTACTATGGCTATGGTTTTGTATTTTCTTTTGGAATCATGGTAATCCTTATAGTCCTCACTTATACTTCTTACTTATGTATTCGATTTCGATCGCGCAATAATCCAACCACCTCTACCATCACAACAACTACTACAAGAGTCAGAAATGGATTGATTTTTATTCAAGAAGGTCTTGATGAAGCAACTTTGAGGAGTTATCCAAAGTTATTATATTCACAAGTTAAGTCTCACAAAGGGGATTTTGCATCTTCTTGTTGTGGATGTTCAATTTGTTTGGGTGATTATAAAGACAATGATATGCTTAGGCTATTGCCTCATTGTGGTCATCTTTTTCATCTCATGTGTATTGACACTTGGCTTAGGTTACACCCCACTTGCCCTATTTGTAGAAGTTCTTCGCTCTCATCTCCTTTGGTCGAGTTCAGTAATACATGATTCATAATTTAAACGTTATGAACTCTGAATAGTTAAGAGACTGAATTTTATTTATACATCTTTTCTGTATATATAGAATTTGAATTGAACATTCAAGAAGATATATAGAAGAATTTTCTTCTTTTTATGTTCATTTTGTTAATTTTTATGGCGATTGTGTT